GCCTCAAGGGCTCTTAGAGACCTAGTTTTCTAAACTGCTGACTGCAATTAATTATGGCCTAAAAAATATGCTTTTAATTTTAGCCATTTATTAATGAGTTCGCATTGCAAACGCATTAATTTCACATTTCTCGGTTGTACAATTTATGCTGAAAATTATTTATTGCTAAAATGCATTAAATTGAGAGGCTTATTTATCAGCTGCTCGACGCCATTAACTGACAAATTTCCCTAATTGCATTCCGTTAATAAACTACGACAACAACAACCAAAAAACCAAAAAAAAGAAAATGCAATGCACAAATTTATTGCTATGCTACATAAATTATCAGCTAGCTGCCCCCGCAACCGACTGCCACACGCATCTGCCTCGTTCCACGGCTTTTGTTTATGTTGCAAATTCAGTCTAATTGCAGCAAAATGAAAGGAATGCAACCATTCGACAACTGTCTGTGTGTGTGTGTGTGTGTTTCTCAGTGTGTGTATGTGTGTGTGTTTGTGTATGCCCCACAAATATGCATCCATGAATGCCAGCGTCAACTGCTTCATGCCCTATTCACCCCGCTGCACCCTTTAATATCCTCTTTGATGCCGTTCCCTTTAATGATTTTGTGCGCATTATAATTTAAATGGACTTTTGCGAAAAGCAATTAAATGAAATTAAATTTTGTGTTCAGCTTAATCCGGCGCTGAGCTGCATGCATAGTTCATGTTATCCCCTGTCGGATAACGCCTCCACAATAGGCACCAACTACGCCTACACTGAAACAGACACCGCACCACCCACACCCACACTCCCCTCCCCTCCCCTCCCGCTCACCTATCGCATCAGGTTGTTAAGTGCGTGCCAAGCTGCCGCATCCACTCGACGGGCTCTAGCAGTCGACACCTCCACGGTCAGCAGGAGGACCAAGTGGACAGCCAGCCATGGACAGTCCGCACAAGCGGCCTGCCTCAGGGATTGCTGCGGGCGGTTGAGTGGGTGCCGGCTGCGGGGAGGGAGAGGGAGAGGGAGAGGGAGACAATCATGGATGCACAGTTGAACGTGCGTTTTGTATAGCACTTTTCATATGAATATGAATTGCTTGTGGTTGTGTTAAGTGGCAGAGTTCATTAATGTGCGTGTGTCTGTGTGTGCATTCAATGCCAAACTGTTTACAGTTAATAATATATATACACATGCATATACATATGAATATATATAATATATATACACTCACAAAGTTGATTAAATGTACGCACTTTTTGAGCCAGCGAACAATTTGCTGCCTGCGAATGCCATGAACAAAAAAAGATTCAATCGCATTATGCAAATTGATGGAAATACTATGAAGAGGCTCAAAAGGCTGCAAAAGGAAAAGCGCATAAAGAGAATAACTTGATTTTTCATAATGAACTGATTCTGTATTAAAATGCCTAAGATATGCAAATATATATATGAATTGTGCTTTTAAAAGCTGCTGCAGCTGCACTTTGTTCTATACATCAGAAGATACTTTTCTACACCAATGAAATATCCATAGAAATTATAAGCATACTTGAAGCTTCTTAAAGGGAATGTAAATTAACTGGTATCTTAATAATTCAGGTCCTTGAATACATAGTAAGCGTTGCGCATAGATTAAAATAACATGCTTTTGCCTGATTCTAGGAATTCGAAAAGTAAAAGGTTTACTAAATTCCACAGCTGGCGGCTCGCATGAAAGGACCATGTAGAAAGAATTTTATGCTGGCTTTTTGTTATGTTTAATTTATAGTTGAAGGACTTCTGGAAAAGAAGTTCATTTCATCTTAAACTGTATTTAAGAGTAGCTTTTATCTGTTGAAAGAATATCAGATAAAGCCGGAGCCATATATATATCACCCTATTAGACTTTTGCCACACACAATTTCCGAAAGTAAACACACATTAATGGAATTAAATTTTTGAAATAAATTTGTTTATTGTTGCTTGATTTTTTCCCTTTGTCTTCTTTTGTTTTTTTTTTTCTCCATTTCTTACTGCGCTGTATTTTTGTTGCATAGCTTGCAACTGCTTTGCGATTATTTAAAATAAATTTGTTCTTACAAACTAAATAATGGGCCATGTTTACATAAAAAAAACAGAAGTTTTGCTCATTTGCTTTGCTTTTTATAATTTAGTACTATATATTTATATATATATTAAAGTAATAATTGCAAAAGTGGCTTCTTTAGGAACCCAAAATCTTATAATATTGAATTATCATTATAATTATTATTAGCTGCTGCTTCTTGCTCAATTCGTTGCATACTTTTGTGGGCAATTAGAAATATGTGAAATGAAAGTAAAACAATCAAAATGTTTAACTTTAGAGTAAAAAATGTTTTCTTTCTATATAATATGTATATTAGACAATTAAATACCCTTGCACAAATGAAGCTATGCCGAATGCACGAATGAAAGTTATGTAAAAAAAGATTTAATTTAAACTTTTGGAAAGCGTTTGCTTAAGAATCGATTACTGCACTTATTATATTCTCTTTTGCAAGGGCATTCAATCTTCGGTGCACCGAAGCTGGCAACTAGCTCTTCATTTCGTTATTAAAGTTTAAAATTGGATAGTTTTTGCAAGAATGTAAAATTTGTTATGTACGACGAGTGAAAGTTTTTGTTCTCTGTGTTTGATTAAATTTAGCTAAAGATCGCATAGAACTTTCTAATGCAGCAACTGCAGCTGCAGCACTTGTCTTTATGCAATTTAAACAAAAATCCAAATTTTTAATGTACAATGGCTCATTTGTTATGTTGTAATTAAAATGCTAGTATATATGCCTTTGTATTTAGTATCTCAAATGATTTTGGTTTTCTTTTTTTTTTTTTAATAGCTTTGCTTGCATTTAAATTCTTTTCGGAATGTTTTGAAACGTTTTTTGTTTTATTTTTATCTTCTCGTATTTAATTTATTGGCAGTTGTAAATACAATGCGTATATGTATATATATATATATATATATACTATTTATATGCATGCGTGTGTGAATTTATATATGTACAATTCGAATTCATGCATGCGCAAAATATAATTTATTCATATGTGCGTGTGTCTCTGTGTGTGTGTCTGATTTTGTTTGTTTTTTTGCCTTTTGGGTTTTTTTCTTTCACTTTTTAAATATGTTTGCATTTGCCTTCTGCGCCTGCCACGCCCACAACGCCGCGAAAATTCAATCAACAATAATGCCTGCGAACTGCTACATATATTGTTGTTATTATTGTTGCTGTTGTTGTATCTTTTGTTGTTTTAATGGCATGCCATTAAATAATTTCATTAAATGCTTTGTATGAGACATGAACGGCATAAAAAAGGTCGTCTCATTGTTTTTTTGTTTTTTTTTTTTTGTGTAGCTGTCCTCGTTGTTGTTGTTGCTGTCTTTTTTTTTGTTTTTTAATGTTTTGCAAATTCCGACAGTTTCTTCAATCAATTTACGAAGCGACCAAAACAAAGAAATAACTGAAAATAACATAAATTCAACCGACTGCATAAAAAACAATGCATATCGGAAATGTGTTAATAAAAATGTTGGTCTGCTTTTGAATACTCTGACATTAAGAGAGTTCGCCTACTTTATGACACATGACGAGTCCTCGCTTTACTATCACATTTTGTTAAGCAAATAGTAAAATTTAATTAATTGAACTTATTTTAAGAGCTGCATTTTAGATAAATGATGCTCTTAAATAAGAAAAATGTAATGTACAATATTTTATATCAATAATTAATTAGGCTTTCATTGCTTGTGATTAAACTAGAGAATTTTAAATTATTCTATACATATATTTATTACATAAAAAACACTTTTTTTATACCATAATATTTATATATATGTGATAAATAATTAATTAAATATATTATTAAGTCGAAAGGTAAAAAAAACATGTTTTAAAAAGAAATAAATATATTATAGATATTTACGTTAAATAAAAAAACTCCGGACCTGGAGCCAGCCAAACAAATATTTATAATATCGAAATTATGTAATTAAATATTAATAAAGTAATCTTTAATTATTTATATCTAATATAAACGATTAAAATGGAATGCAAATTAACTTAGAATCTAAAAATAAAAAAAATAGCATTGCAATTAAATTTAATTAAAAAAGAGCTACTTAAAACCTTTTAATTATGCCCAAATTAAGCGTATTCGTAACAGGTGCTGTGGCCAGGTGTCATGCGTTTCGCCATTCGGTTGAGTTGGGTGCGTTGTGGCATTTGGTTCGGTAGTCAGTTTGGTTCATTGTTTGCGGTTCGTAAGCTTAATTGTTATCAACAACGGCGTCAGGCTGGCGTCATTATCGCATAGCCAGGACGAGTGTGCGTCTGTGTGTGCGTCTGTGTGTGCGTGTGTGTGTGCGTGTGTGTGTTGCTGATTTACTATCATATTTATTTTTGCATTCGTTGAGTGTCAGCTATTAATAATAATATTTTTATTATATTATTATTTTTTCATCGCATCTATTATGTTGCCTTGCATTGTTGTGTATTTATTTATTATTTGCTTATTTTTCTCGATTTTTCACATATTTTTTTTTACTCTGTTTAATTGTTTGATTTTTATCAAACAATTTCCTTACATGCTAATTAATTTGCCTGAACGGCTGGCTAACTGTGTCTGTCTCTGGGCTCGTAGTTCGAATCCTTTAAAGCGGATTCCTGCGTGTGTTTTTTCTTAGTTCTCTTGGCTGACTTGGATTTTGTCCATTTACTATGTCTCAGGTCTATTTTAAATATATATATATATATGGAGTACTATTACTTTCCATTTTTGCACTGCTGTAAAAAATGCAATTTTATATATATATATATCATTTTTATTTTTTTGGTTTTATGCCTGACATACTTTTTGCATGGCAAATAAAAGTTGTATTTTTTGTATTTGTTTGTTTATGGTTTATTGAACAAATTTATATTTTATTGATTTATTTTTGCAGTTGTTTTCAATGGTATTTTTATTTTAAATATAATTAATGCTTTAATAATTTAAGTTGTAGTTCTTTGTATGTACAAATGCCTAGGCTAAATGAATTTCCTTTTATACTTTATATATATATATGTATATATATAGATTTATATTTATATATTTATACAATGCAATAAATTAGCGAACGTGTTAGAATATCAATTGTTTAAGTCGTGGGTATTATGTACAGGCTAAGTCAAATTTATTTCAAACAACTAAAAATATCAGTCTCTTCCACTGCCCCCAAATGTATGCTATGCTTTCCTTCTCTCCGCTCTTGCCTTTAATTTAAGTTTAGTTTACTTTTAATTTTAGTTTAAGTTGTAGTTTAAGTGTAAGTTTTAGTTTTAGTTTAGTTAGTTTGCCTTGCTTATAAATTCACTGGTTGTTCGAACTGGTCACGCCCCGCCCTTTGGCTCGGTTACGCCCACAGATCATGCAGCGGCTTGCTGGCGCCGCCATCGTCCAGCTCATTGAGACTCAAATTCGATTCGTAATGCGTCAGCTCCGGCTGGCGACTGTTGTTGCTGCTGCTGCTCATCGTGGCGCTGCTCTGTGTGCCGCTCTCCAGCCCGCCGCAGCCGCAGAGCAGCTCGTCGTCCGCATTGCAATTGCAGGGCTTCTTGCAGTTGTAGGCGCCGGCGCTGATGGCGGGCGGCACAAAGTTCGAGCTAAACGAGCTGGGCAGCACGCTCGCCGCCGCCGCCGCCGCAGCCGCAGCCGAGGATGCCTGACTCTTAACGGAGCGCTTGGCGGTGCCTATGCACTCGCAGTTGCTGCTGCCCCTCAGCTGCAGCTGCTGCTGCTTGGCATAGTCGACGCTGTCGTAGGCGGGCGCCTGGCCAGCTGCCAAATAGGCGGGCACCGCGTACTCGTGCTGACTGCGTCGGTGCTGCTGCTGCTGCTGCGGCTGCTGCTGGTGCGGATGATGTTCCAGCGTTTTGGCCATGCCCGCGATGCTGAGCTCGCGCTGCTTCTTGGTCAGCGGATTCATAGTGTTGAATTTGCAGGCAGCTGCCGCAGCCGTTGCGGATGTGGGTATGGGCTTGTAGCCACGGGCGCCGCACTCATTGATTGTGGCATAGTTGTTGCTGCTGCAGTCCGCGTACAGCTTGTCCGCGATCCTTGCTGCGGGCACTGGCACGGGCACGCCCCCAACGCCCGACTGATATTCGTGCGCCGTGGCATACATATTCACCGAGGAGGTGCGTGCGGCCAGGCAGCCGGACACGCGCTTATTATTGTTGCCTCTGCCATGTGGCAGGGGCAGGGCGAGACGCAGCTTCTGCCAGAACTTCTTGTCATCCCACTCGATGCAGGTGCTTGTGCGCAAATAATGCCGCATATCCAGATCGATATCCCGCTGCGGCAGATCCCCGTAGAGTATGAAGACGACACGCTTGCGTCGCTTCACCAGCTCGTGGAGCGCACTCTTGTACTCAAAGCGTGTCCACTCGTTGTAGAGGAAGTTCTTGGATAGCACCAAAACAAACTGTTTGGCGCTCTCCGCGGCCTCAATCAGTGCGTCCGTGATGTAGGCGTTGATGTTGACATCGCGATAGTGCAGGCACAGCCGATAGCCAATCTCGCTCTCCAGGGTATTGGCCAGAATCTGATTGACGAAATGCTCATCCTGCAGGCTATAGGCAAAGTAGGCATCATTCGGTCGCTCCTTGTCCAGCTGGTCCACAAAGCGGGGCGAGCGATAGCAGAAGGTCAACAGGCAGCTGTTGGAGTGCGCCCACATCTTGAGCTCGTGCCGATAGCAGAACAGCCCGAAGATGAGGCCAAAGAAGCCCACAAAGGCGCACGTGGCCACCAGGAGCAGCGGCAACAGGCCCTCAATCTCATTGGTGTGCATATAGTGGGCGACTCCGTCGCGCAGCGTGCACTTGGTGCCGTTCTTCTCGCGCAGCACACTGGTCGCATTGTTGTAGATGCAGCTCACGCGGGCGGCGTCGACAATCTTCTCGGAGCTCTGCGCCAGATAGTTGCGAAAGCGCGACAGGTAGCCGCACTCACAGCTCCACTGATTGTCGGCCAGACTGATCTCGACGAGATACGGATTCGAGGCGAGCTGCCACACCTCAAAGTGCATCAGGCGATTGCCGTCCAGGCGCAGCACCTCCAGCTTGCGCAGCATCTGGAAGCTGCCATTGGCAATGCTCGCAATGCGATTCGACTGCAGATACAGCTCGCGCAGATTCTCCAGATTGTGGAACTCGTTGCCCTCCAGTGAGACAATGTGATTGTCCTCCAGATGCAGCACCAGCAGACGCTTCAGTCCACTGAACGTGGTATTGTAAATGTGCGCCACATTCGAGTTGTTCGCATAGAGCACGGCCAGGTTCTTGCGTCCGAGGAACGAATGACCCGCCAGCTCGACAAAATTATTGCCATCGATATACAGCTCGGTGGTGTCCATGGGAACACGGCGCGGCATCTGCGAGTAGCCGGCGCCGGAGCACTCGACTATATTGGTCGACCAGGTCTGGTCGTGGAAGCACGTACAGTTCGTGGGGCAGGTCATCTCGCAGTCGCAGGCATCGAACTCGCAGCAATGGCAGACGGCGAAGCAGTGCGTCTTGTAGGTGCACAGGAAGTGCTTGGGCTCCGCCTCCAGCAGCGGAATATAGGCGCGTTCCCTGTTGTTGAGCAGCTTGCAGTAGATGGTCTCCAGGTCCATGATGCGCGGATATTGGCGGGACGTGATGTGATTGATCTTCTGCAGCCAGTCGATGTTGCAGTCGCAGGTGAAGGGATTGCCGCCAATATAGAACTCGGGCAGCGGACGCTGCTCCTGGACGGGCAGAATGCGCAGGGATTTAATGTCGAGCGTGTTGATCTGATTCGCATACAAGTCCACCCGAGTCAGATTCGATTTGTGCATAAACGTGTCCGGATCCACAGTCGTGATTAGGTTGTCGTTCAGAAACAACAGCTCTATGGAATTGGGTATGGAGGCGGGGCCAATGCGCTGCAGCTGATTAAAGCTCACGTCGAGCGTTTGCAGACGCAGCTCGGCATCGAGCCCAAAGCGATTCGACAGCAGCCCGAGCCGATTCTTGTGCAGATCGAGCCACTGCAGCGTGCTGGGCGTATGCCCATAGTCGAAGCTCTCCAGCCGATTATCCGAGATATTCAGCCAGAGCAGCGAGGGCATATTGCTGAACAGTCCATTGATGTCCGTCAGCTCGTTGCCGTCCAAGCGTATCGCCTGGATGCTGGAGGTCATCTCGAAGGCGCCCGGCTCGACGACAGCTATGCGATTCCTGGCCAGATTCAGTATCTGCAGGCTAGGCAGATCGCGAAACGTGTGCATCGTTATGTTCTCCAAATAGTTGCCAATCAGACGCAGCCCGTACAGATTGCCCAGACCCTTGAAGGCGTTCTCCTCCAGCACGGTGACCATGTTCTCGCCCAGATCCACGGTGCGCAGCAGGCGCATATTCCTCAACGCCAGCGGCACCGTCTTCAGCTGGTTCCCATTCAAATTCAGATCCTGCAGCGCGCTGCAGTTCCTGAACGCATCCGGATGCACGCCAATCAGCGCATTGTTGTCCAGCGAGAGCAGCGACAGCACATAGAGCCCGTTCAGCGCATAGGCGTCCAGGTACTTCAGCTTGTTGTGGGAGAGGAGCAGCGTGTGCAGATTGTTCATGGGCGCAAAGGTGTCCGCGGCAATGTTCTCCAGCTGGTTGTGCCGCAAATTGAGTATCTGCAGCGTGTACAAATCGCTGAAGATCTCCGGCTCCAGCTTGGTCAGCTTGTTGTGCGAGAGATTCAGCAGGACGAGACGTATGAGTCCGACAAACGTGTTGCGATCCGTCCACGTGGAGGTGATCTGATTGAAGGACAGGTCCAGCGCCTGCAGTTGGTCCAGATTGGAGAAGAGCTGCGGACTGAGCACACTGATGGAATTGTTCTGCAGATAGACCTCCTGGATGGTCTTGGACTGTTCCGCGAACAGCTCGGAGGGCAGGGCGACAATCTTGTTGGAGCTCAGATTGAGCACCTGCAGATTCTTGAGGCCACTCAAAGCCCTGTCCGCAATCATCGAGATCTCATTATTGTTCACGTGGAGCACGCGCAGGCGGCGCAGCGTGCCAAACCCATTGGCGGGCAGGAGGACAAAGTGATTGAAGCTGACATCGAGCAGCTCCAGATCCAATGAGCACGAGCTGACGGCACGTCTGCCCGCCTCGGTGGTGGAGACGGAGCTGGAGCTGGAGCTGGGACTGGACTCTGTGGAGCTGGGCGCCTCCTTGCTGCGATCCCGGAAGCCCAGCTCGTTGACATCCTGCAGGCGGTTCTCGCTCATGTTCAGTGCGGACAAGGCGGACAGCGCGCAGAATATGTTATCCGGCAGGGACCATATGTTGTTCGAGCTCAAATCCAATCTCTCCAGCTGCTTGGTCACAGCGAACGCATCCGCCTCAATCTCAAAGTTCAGTGCCGGCCACAGAATGTTGTGGGTGCGCAGCGTGAGATTTCGCAGCTGCTCCAGACCGTCGAGCACCTGGCGACCCAGCTTGCCCAGCTTGCAGTACTGAATGGACAGCTGCTGCAGCCGCGACAAATGGGCGAAGGACTGCGCCTCTAGTCGGCTCTTGGCCATGATCTCGTCGTTGCACAGAATGTGCAGGGCAACCGTGTGCTCCGCGGGAATCACACTGAAATTGGTCGTGTCGAATTCGCTGTTCACCGTGCGCAGATTACAGGTCAGGGCAATCTCCGGCTGCTCCAGTCCAGCGGCGGGCATAAAATGACAGTCATCGGGCGCATCGTACAGGCCCGCATCTCCGCCAGAAATGGGACGCAGTGTGCGTGCCGGCGTCGAGGGCGGCAGCAGCTGGGAACTGGAGACGCCCGCCTCGCCCATGATGGCATTCGAGTGCGAATGCGACTGCTGCTGGTGCTTGCTGCTGGACCCCGACTCCGAGTGGGCTGCCGCTGACGCATCCTGGCTGCTGCTCACCGTGACCGGGAGCAGCAGTTGTAGTAGAAGGCACAGGCACAATGGATTCAACATTTCGTAGGCTGTGTGTGTGTGTTGGTGTGTGTGTGTGTGTAAGTTGCTCCTCTTTTTAGTTTACTTGGGAGTAACGGTATAAAATGAAAAAACTTAACGAAAATCAATTCCACTTGCAATTGGCCAAAAACTCTGCACACATATTTGCGGCCGCTACCCTTCGGTCACAGTTCAAGAGTTGCGGGGTGTGGGGGGGTTGGGCTGAGTTAATTGTAATTGGCGTAGCCAACTTAACGGTTTACAGTTACTCCCTGCCGCACATTATATTACAACATTTATCTGCATCACTTTCGTATTTTTGTATTCGTATGCTTTTCGTTTTTTTTTTATTTTTCGGGTTTTTGTTTTTAGGAACCTTGTTGGAATTTTTAATTGCTGCGGGCCACTCGCGACGTTCTTTTATCACTTTTCTATGTTGTTTTTTTTTTGTTGAGACAAAACTTGTAACGGTTCACGTGTGGGTTTGCATGCGGGCGTGCGGCGTATCTTTGGTATGTCTGGCGCGCACGTTGGCTGAGTGTCGACTGACTGCCGCAACGTGCGCAGCTCTCACTTAAATAGAGAGACGGTACACAGCGAGCGTTGCGTTGCGTCGGCTGAGGAGCCGAAGACTGCACAATACACGGCACGACAGCAAGAACAACAACAAGCACGACAACGGCGAGCGCAATAGAGAGGGAAATTTCAAAGGGAGAGCGCAACACAGCGGGAGCGCAAGCCTTAAAGGAAATTTGCTCCGCTTGAATGCGCTCCACAGAGCGAATGCTACAGAGATGCTGCTGTTGCTGCCTCTGCCGACGACGTTGCTGCTTAGAGGGTTTCTAATCGCATCAAACAGCTGGCGTCCTTTTTGCCCATGGTACTTTTTAGTACTCGCCGCAGCCCATTTGCCGAGAGCCGATTCGACTCGACTCGAGTAGAGTCGAGTCTCACAGGCTTCGACTTTGTCTCTGTTTTGATAATGAAAATATATGATGTGCAGGCGGCCAGCGCCAATCTTCATACAAATGTAATTTATTTTTATACGCATGTGTGTGTGTGTTTGTGTGTGTATGGTTGCCTGCTGTCTCTGTCTGCTGTGTGTATGTTTGTGTGTGTGTGTGTGTGTGTGGGTGGCTGTGAGCGTGTGACATATAAAAATAATAATTCCTTACATTCCATTAAATTACAATAATAATTTTAATTAAACTGTTTTGTTTGCGCTTGAGGTAACATTCTCTCGGCTCAGCTCGGCTTGATGACTTCCTTTGCATTCAGGAATTATCATCATCGTTATCATCATCAGCATTATCATTGTCCTGGCTGTGATTGTGGCCTGTTGTCATTGGCTTTATGATAATTTCTAAATTGGCTTCAGCAAGTGCTCTTTGCCTTGTTTCTTTTTTTTTTTTTTTTGCTTTGGGTTGGGATAGGCTCAAAAATCAATATGCTGCATTTTTGCTTTACGCCTGAGAAAGTAGCCTAAGACGATAATGATAACGATGATGAGATGATGATGCTGATGATAATGATGATAGTAATGGGCTCTGGGCGCAAACAGGAAGTTGGCAAACATGGATATGCTGTTAGCCAGTTGGGCGTAAACGGGTCAAGCATTCTAGACTTGAGAACGGAAAAAAGATTGCAAAGGCTGTTGGGCATCAAGAGATACGCTAAGACTTATAAAATATAAGGGACCACAGAGCATATACATATATATATACATATATAAATATATATATGTATATATCTTAAAGACTTCATTAAAAACTCATATTAATTTAAGCCTATTAAGCTGCTTACATTTTGTAAACTAACAAAATTACCAGGGAACGTCTTTTATCTGGATACGTTGCACTCTTTTAGCTAGATACCAATTTTTGTTCACTTTTCCCACAGTTTATTTTTATCAAGATCTTTGCGAAAAACTAAGCCAAGTAAGAGCTGATGCACTTTTGCAAATTCGCACCATCTGCAAGTTAAACATCTCATCTCAGTTGAGCTCAGGTATATGACACCTGCTGGCCGCCTGTTTGGTAAACACAGGTCCCAGCACTCTAATCAAGATGCAGCAAGGTAGAAAAAAGCGCCTTTCAGCCTATTTACTAAACTTATCTTTATAGAAGAAATCTGTTTAAGAAATGCGCTAAAATTCAAAGCTGCCTATGGCATCTGAGTGCCAACTGAATGGTCGTGGATGTTGGGATAAGGATGTATAACTCGGCGCATCCGCTCTTCAGCAAGCCGATTTGCTGGTCCTCCGCACGACATTCGCCTAATGCAAAAGCCAATAGTCATGCACTATTCACAATTGTGCGGACAATTGGCAATGAAAGGGAAGTCCAAGGTAAACACTTGCGGATGTAAGAGATTATAAAGAGATGAGAGACAGCGAGTGCGAGTGCGAGGTGGTCTTCATCTATATTTGCTTTAAAGGACACTTTATGCTCAGGGCCATTTATCTTCGAAGGAGTCGTTTGTCTCTGCTGCATTGAGGAAATAAAAAATTTGTTTGTCAGCTGGCCTGCCCGTCCGTCTGTCCTTTAAGGGTTGCATTGTGCAAAAAGAAGAGGAGAAGAGAAAAAAGTGTCCTTTTTTTTTTTGTAACGGAAGCAGGAAGCAGGACTCTCGCCTGTACAACTAGGTAAAGATGTCAAGTCACCCAGTTGAAGTCTGGCCTTGTCCCGTCCATTTTTCTCAATATAATGTCTATTGATTTTTGGCTTTTGATTGTTTACATATTTGCCGTATTTTGACAACTAAATCGCCAGACAGCCCGGCAGCCAACTCACACATAAGTCGGCCCACCCAGGCCCAGGCCCAAGATCTGGCTTGCACTTTATAAATTAAATGTCAGCCGTACAGTTATTGACCATTTGACTTGACACATGGCTCGATTTCCGGTCGCATTTCCTCTCCAGCTCACTTTTTTTCTCTGGTTTTCTCATTTTCTTTTCTTGGTTTTTGTATAACCCACAAAACTGTGGCCACTCCTGCGGAATATCGCCGTGAAGGTCGCCCAAGCAATTACTTTGTACGTCTAATGGCAGTCCAACTGCAGTCCAAGGATTCGCTACCGTCTACCGGCCCGTCGTGTGTGTCCTTGACTTGTGCAATTTAGCCAAGCCCGTCCGCATACACTCGCCGTGGCCATTAGATAAGCGCCAACTGCCTTCAATTTGTATCACTGATGAAAGCTGCCGATATGTCGTACGGGCAGGTTATTCTCATGGCTGCCTATCTAACGAATAGAGCTTTTTAATACAAAGATAAAATCAATTCTAGCTAACATGTTGCTACTATGATAAGGTCATAACCTTATAGAAGAACTAATAAGTTGGAGTTATATATAGAAATATATTGTAAAGAGATGAAATAGATGTACTTGGTATATTGTTATTGCTAAGAAATGTCATGTGTGTAAAAAATTTGATCAAATCATTTTTAAAGATTAATTTATTTTTAAACTTATATTATCTTTACAGCTGCATACTTATATATACTTCGACTTTACGTACAAATGTGGGCTTTCAACTCAAGTAAAAAAATGTATATAAAAAAATACTGTCAAGGGTAAGTCAGTTAATTATAATTATTATTATTATTCGAATCCGGCCAGTTTGGCATATTTTTCAGTCGAAACGTTTTTCTTTTATAAGATATCTCTATATAAATATCCCTGTGTCCTGACTGACTAATTGAATGTCTAACTAACTGAATGACTGACTGACTGATTGACTGACTGGCTGATTGACTGACTGACTGACTGACTGATTGACTTGTCTAACTGACTGACTGACTAGAGAAATTCCACCCGCTAGTGTGGAAAAAACGCGAAAAACGTTTGTATCTAACTTCTTTGTTTACCATCCAATGGTCTTCAAAATCATTTGCAAAGGTCTTTGCGAAAATTCATCAGATATGTGTTTTACAATCTTTGCAAATTAATTTGATCAAGCTGCGCACCACAACTCGAACATGGGTGCAAACAATTGATTTCAAATGTTGTTTCTTTATTCGGTGGACTTTAAACATATTTTTAAAAAGACGTGTAGTTCAAGATGTATATCTATATATTATAATCTTAACAAAGTCCGAGTACTGTATCACAAGCTCTATAAGAAGATTCAATCGAAAAAAGAGTTGATGTTGATCAAGGCCAGCTTCAAAGAAGCTTAAATTTCCTCTGACGTTTCTTGGTTCTCGTTTGATTTGGAGCCTTTTTAATTAAACTGTGCCATGAGAGATGTTTTTTCTCAGGCAGGTGAGCCGTGTGTCTATTTGAAAATAAGACAACTTCCTTTGGAACTAATTTTCCACTCTCTACTGTAGCCTTCTCCTGTAGATGGCTGCGCTGTCAAAGGCTGCTTTACAATCTCAATTCGGTAATATTCCCTTTTTATTATTTGAGTGGAGCTTCAGCTAATAGGAGCTAGGATGTCCCTAACTAGGCAAAGCCTCGGCTGTAAGTTGTAGCTTTAGTTTGCTGCTAATGAGCAATTCATGTCAATTGCTAATTAGTGCGCTGAAGATTTTTATCTGCTTTGGCTGACTTATCGCTGCCATTTTTATAACCCAGAAGCAAACGCAAATGCAGAAGCGGGTCCAGGACCGGGACCCGGTCCGGGCCCAAATACAATGGCCAAGAAATTAGCAAACCCGGCCAAGATAAGTCAATTAGGTTTGGCTTTATAGCTGCCAATGGCGACCAAAACAAAAGCCCAAAGACACAGACAGTCGGCCAGAAAGTTGTGCGGGGGAAGGGGATTGTGTTGGATTGGGTGGCGTGGGCAAATGGGCGCTGCGGCAAAAAGAAAGGCAAATCAAATAAAATGAGGCCAAATAAAGGCAACAATTAATAAACGCAAACACACAGAGCGCCGCAAGAAATAAAAGAAAAGAGGAAAGAAAAACAGCAGCCACGACGAAACTGAGCCGGACGCTGCGTATCTGTATCT